ATCTACCTTTGTCTCGTGTGTGGCAACTGTGTCCATTGAGTGTGAAGACGATGTTTGATGTATGCACATCTGCGTGAGTTGGTCCCCAGGACCCATGCATTTAACTAGTCCACTATGCAATGGTAGACCTGCAGTGGTATGGAACTGACGGTGCACTCTGATCGGAAGGTGGTGGTGGGGGTAAGAAAAGAGGAGAGGGCCTGCGGTTTAAGGAACAGACAGTGAATACCACCTTCAGCAGCGGATCCTTCAGTACACGAAACAGGCAAGCATCTCCAGCTCTCAAAGTCCAGATCAGACAGCAAGGTAGCTGAGAGGAGTAAGCCAGCCTGTATACAAGTCTAGCACAGCAGGGTAGCCGAGAGGAGTGAGTTCATAACGGTTGGAACTTAAGTCAAGAAGGCTAACTTAGGCAGGGGTGAGGGGCGGTATATCCTTCCCAAGGGAAGTAATCAATGCCGCCCACTCGGGCCTCTCAACCGGAATGGGGAGGAGCGTGTGTGAGCGGTTATTGTATTCAATTTTGACTTGCAGGGGGAATAGGAACCGGACTGTTGCTCCCCAGAGTGGCAGGAGCCGCAAAAAAAGTCCACTATGCTGTCGCTGGCCGCTCCTCTCAGTTGTGTGACTGCCAGTTATTATATGAATCTCTAGAGTGAACTGCGACTATGAAATCTGTATTGCCATCAACAGTCCTAAGCCCTCCCAAAGGGCACGACAGTCTGTATTACTCAACAGAGAACTTTTCAAAGCAGCTGTACCTATTCCACCCCATACCATTGCATATCCACCAGTGACAGTTGATGGGGAGGGAACGGGTCCGGGAATTCTGCTGGTGGGCGTAGCGGCACTCCTGGGTCCACTTTAGTCCATTCCTTGAAGCAGATGCCGTAGTCTCTCCTGAAGTCGCCCTGCTCCTGTTCGGGGGGCTGACCACTTTCCCATCGAATATAGGCAATCCAACCCCCTGTTTCACTACCCAGCTAGCCCTTGGAGAACTGATTGATTGCCAGTTGAATATCTTTCTTTGAGTGGAATGTCTGTAGCTGGTTTTTAACCTTCTGCCATCTCGAGATAAGTTCTTGCTGTACGTACTGTTTTCTTATTTCCGTTACTTCTTCTCCTTCATTTCGAACGCCCTCTATGGCGAGTGTGCAGCGCTTCCTCCAAAGTGCCCAAATAACCGCTCTCCGTCCCAGCCGGAACATGTTGTTTTCAAAATCGCTGTCCACGGGGGAGGACCATGCTTCACAGAGCAGCGCCCTCCAATCCCATGGCCAGGTCGATCTGGTGCCCAGTTGGCTCCATATTCTGTCCCACCAACGCCAAGTGAGGAGCACCCCTGGGCACTGTAAGAAGACGTGTTCTATAGTCTCCGGGATCTTACGGGAGGGGAAGGCGTTTTGACAGGATTTGCACCAAGGGAGCGCCAGGCCCTTCTGCTCCAGGAACGTAGGGTCTATTAGCCAATTGTTAGTCGGAAGACAGCGATGTTCTATCTTCCACTGCAGCGAGACCAACTTGGCTGGTTTAGATCTCATGGTTGAAAACCATCGGATGGGGCGGACAGCCCTTTGACTTATGTTTAGGTGGGCTATCCAGCGGGCTTTTACAATCTCCTTGAGGTTCACCTTTGGCCGCAGTAGCCGGTAAGTGGACTTCACTGACAGGCTGTAGAGACATATGCCGGGGTTGATTAGCGTTCTTCGTGCCGGTGCCCAGCGCCACTCCCCCGGGTCGAACGGGAGTTCGGCAAGGGGGGTTCCAGGGCGGAATGCAATCCATTCTTCCTTCTGTTTCAGTACCCGAATTCTGTGCAGCTCCTCATTCTTCCACCACCTCACAGCTTTCGGCGTTTGCCCGGCAAGGACGTTTTCCTTTCCCTTATGGAAGAGGTTAATCAAGGATTCATCTGCCCGCACTTCCACCACGTTGCCAATACATTCCGTGTTGGCTGGGGCCGCGACCCAGTCTCCTACCGCCAGCCGTGGTCCTTTACGGAGGATGCGCACCCAGTCCAGAGGGATGTCAAAGATCAACCTTTCCAGGTTTCATTCAATATCATGACAGTACCTCATCTGAGCCCTCAACGGGTGTATTTGTGCTGCGCGTAAAAAAGAAAAAGAAAAAACACACGGCGCAGTGATTTTTTTTCTTCCACCGCCAACCAAACAGATTCGGTAGGCCAAGCCCCAAACTACGCAACACAAATGCAACCGTGTCGGAGCCGGGAGACGAACTGCGGGTTCAGGCTTGAGATTCCGAGCTGTTGTGTGTACCATAAGCCTTCATGAGTTTTGCAGACCTTCAGAAATAAATTCGAATAACTTCAAGATTTCTGCAGGAAAAAAAAAAAAAAACTTCTTTTAAATTCTGCACAGCTTGCGTAGGCAATAATACGATGGAGAGTCGTTGGAGACTGCCAATCTCTTTGGGTCTACGTCCAACAGACCAGCGTCGTTTTCGGACAAAGGTAGCAGGAACGGACGTACACGGGCTTGTTGGAATGCTCGGCAGTTTACGGGCTGTGTGGGAACGAAGCTTAAGCTCGTTCGAGTACCAACAACTGTTTGTTTCAATCTTGTCGACTCTTCGAGCATGTGCTCTTAGACTTGACGTATCTGTTGTGATTTTTTCTCATCTCATCTATACCTCTACCTACTGGCCACCGATGGGGAAAAAAAAAAAAAAAAAAAAACCTCCATTGCCAGAGTGTAATAGCTCAATGTTCAGGGAAAGGCTGCACATGGAATGGGCTAGAGGAAGAGAGGAGCTTAGAGGCAGGCAGGGTAATTTAGCAGCCCCATAGGAAAGAATCCACAAGCTCAACAACGGAAAAGATTAAAGGTATGGCCCCATACAAAATGTACAGGAAAGGATGCAATTGTGTAATGAGGTATGTAATGAGGTATTCGGGGAACACTGGACGCGGTTTCCAGCAGGTGCCTCTCCTCAACAATAGATGGAGCAGACCGATAGGCAAGACCTGAATTCTGGTGGTTCTTCTTTTACCATCACCGGGA